AATATCAACAAAATGTTTAAATTGAGTACTTGGCCTTGGCACTAAGAAAGTCTACAGTAATTTTAACAAAATATACAGATCTGTTTAAAAATTGAAAATTTTAACCAGGATGACCAGTGAACCGCAAAACTTAAGAACATCAGGAAAACTATTGGGAAATGCCTTCAATTTCGATTAAAAATCAGGGAAAATATAGCTCCTTTCCCAGAAGATAAATTGTTTACCTTGGAAACTTTCCAAAGGTATTTGTCTGTTATAGATTTTCAAAAGTCTTTCAAGGATGTTTAGAACTTTAAAAAATTCAAAGTAAATTTTTAGAGAATTTTAAAAAATTCTCGGGGTGACACTAAGATATATCACAGAAAAATACCAAAGTACAGACTACGAAAGTCTCATGTAAAATTAAGTGCTCTGAGGTCCGAATTCTTCATCTCCGCTTAAATCTTCAACCAGGTTTACCTATATAGTTAAACTTGGCTTAACGTATACGAGCGCCGTTTTTGATTATTGTTTAAATTATTAGAGACACAAAATTCAGCTCCGACACAATTCCAATATAATTGAGAGAACATTGTAATGAGAGTTCTGAGAAGAACTCTATGATGATTGGATGAGGATTCTAGGTCCACTTTTAATAAGAATTCAAAATTAGTTCTGAAATTTTGCTTAAGGGAGGTCTGATGAAAATTTGATGAAAATCCCGTGAACTCCAAAGATGGTCTCTGCGGATAGTTCTAAAAGAATTCTGGGGTGATTTCTGAAGATACTTCCAAGAGAATTCTAAAGAGTTCGAAATAAATTCCGAGAGGAATTCCAATGGAATCGAATTTTGAGGGTTCAATCTCAAAGGAATCCTGAGAAGAGTTTCAAAGTTATTCTGTGATGGATTTTTGTTTTGAGAATTCTGAGAAAATACTATGGGAATTCTAAGGAGAATACGAATTGAATTTCCAATTGAATGCAGGGGGGAAGTCCAAGATTATTCTAAGCATAAATTTATGCAATTTCTGAAGTTAATTCCATGGAAATTCTAAGGAAAATTCAAATAAATTTAAAATAGATTTATGCAAGGAGTCCTTCAGTGAGTTCCTAGAAGAATCAATAAAAAATCGAAATTAATCTACTCGAAGATGCTTAACGTCAAATATCAGACTTGAAGTGCAGATTTTATACGATAGATGAGAAGATTAAATTATAGAGTTGATAGCTCCGTTATAGTGCGGCAGTGTGAAATATACCTACATAGTAGAAAGCGAGCAAGGACAATGTTGAGGAAGGTATGAATCGGGTAGTTATTTACGTCAGATGTCAGACTTGAGTGTGAAACAATCGATAGAACTGTTTCCGCACATCGGAGGTACATGAGCGAATCGGCGATCATCCCTTTTGGTAGTGGTGGCAGAGGAAACACCCATCACCATCCCTCATTAACGGATGAGCTTGGTAAAGAAGCTGTTCTACCCGATTCGTACCATCCTCAAAATTGTCCTTTGTGCGCTTTTTCTACTTTCTATACACAAATTTCACACTGCCGTACTATAACGAAACTGTCGACTCTTAACTTTCATCTACTCATCTATCGTATAAAATGTCCATTTTAATTCTGATATTTGATGTTAAGCATATCCGACTACGAGAATTATCTATTTTCCAAGAATTTTGTTGATTGTTCTGCAAAGAATTTCAAGAATGCAATATTATTTTTGTAAAAGCTTTTTGCCTCTAAGTTTAAGAGAAGGGGAATTATTCTAAAACAGTTCTTGAGATCATTCTGAAGAAATTCTGTGAAACGTTCTTGGCGAATTACAAAAGTTATCTGCCTAGATATATCAAAATTTTAAACATTTCGAATGCAGAATCAAATTCAAGCTCATAAAAAAATGGGAATTACTATTTGCTAGTCATCATGTATAACGTAAGCAAAAGTAAATTATTCAAATCACTTCAAAATCACTTCCATGACATAAAAAGTTTATTTCAATATCAAACCGTATTTTAATTTCTAAGTTACCATATAAATAGTTACTTATTTAATATTTACAAGTCACTATTTGGTCACTATTTCCGTAATTTTAGTCACTAAAGTCACTACTATTATATCGCATCAGCACTACCAGCCCTGGTCCCCTCACATTGCTCAATCGCAGGCAATGAGAAGGCGGACTCTCTCGCAAAGGTGGGCGCGCAGGAGGTCGAATTGTATGCCAGGAAAATTTCACACGATGAATTTTATCGTTTAGTTCGTCAGAGTACCCTTTCGAGTTGGCAAACCGATTGGGACACTGAACGGTGGTTACATTCAATTATTCCTAATGTTTCTTCGAGAGCGTGGTTTAAAGGCTTGGACTTAAGTCGTGACTTCATTCGCGTGATGAGTAGACTTATGTCCAACCACTACTCGCTAGATGCTCATCTCAATAGAATAAACCTCGTGGACAGCAACATCTGTCGGTGTGGAAACGGTTACGACGACATCGATCACGCAGTTTGGCAATGTACGGATAATGACGCCGCCAGAGAGCGACTTTTGAATACCCTCGAGGCCCAAGGAAGACAACCCTATGTTCCTATCAGAGACGTGTTGGCAACCCGTGATCTCTGCTATATGCAGTCGATTTATGTGTTTCTGCAAATGTCTAGTATAAGAATTTAATTCGTTTGTCTTTTGTATCTCTTTATTAGTTTTTGTTTGTCTTGTCCCCCCGTCTCGATGAGTCTCATCGTCGCCCACTGGTCACCATAGCCGGTCGAACTCCAGACGAAACTAGAACCACACTACCGTTCATACTGGCGACAACGCTCTCATGAGACAACGAAACCTTACCCCCAAGCTCCTCACCTGATCCTATCCTTCGACAATGTACCTCTCTAACCGTGAGTATTCGGCCCAACTCCTACTAGACATAGAATTAAGTGAATTTTGTTACAAACAAAGAACAGTGAATTATCGGCTTCGTAAAGCTAACGCGATTGAGCCTTACAAATAAACGAACTAGATAAAAAAAAGAAAGTAACCTTGGAATGGGCGTGACTCTCCAGACATTCTGAAATGCGTTGCTGGATCTGCAATAGAGCTATCACCTTCCAACTCCCGGACTAAAGCTGTCTACAATGACCATAAATGCGGCATTGTAGAGAGAGTTCTTCCATAATAACACTGCCGACCAGTGGGGGTTAGAAGGAATACACACACATACACACACAGCTGTGCAATCGTTCTCCTCAATTTGATAAGCTGTAAAGTTTACTCTTTGCACTCAACGATTAAGGATATAACAGGCCTGTGAAGCACTTATACAAAATTACGATTAACAACTTCACTAGAAATTAAATGTAATATAACCTTGTTCACAATATCAATTAAAAATTCTGTCAATACTGGGATCAATCACATCTTCGTTCGCATGTGAAGTATGCTTTCTACTCTAATAGGTGTGTGCCCTCGCACGATGACCTTCCGGTGTGTCTCTAGATTCCCTTTGAAGATTACGTTTCACTCATGTTTCATCATTGAACGCAAGGACCGACGAAGACGACGACGCCTGTTTCTTACTGCAGCATAGCTCTTAAAGGAGAGATACCTACGAGTATTGAATCGAACGAAGAGATGTCGTGCCCCTTGTACCAACCAAAACAGCAGTACAACAGTAGGTTGGTATACTAAGAGGTGGGTAGTGTTATGGTAGTTAGCATTCACTCAATCACACAAACACACACACACACACCCAGCCCGTACAAAACGAAACCTTTTTGAAATCGAGCCTTTCTCAAGCGGATCAATTTTCACATTATTTTAATTGATAATCATCATCATCCCGGCGGACGGACATGCAATGCTTATGCTGTGTTCACCCGAGACGTTTCTTCGCTCTGACTCCACACTGCACTGAACATCTTCTCCCCCCAACCCAAAAAAAAAAGTACCAAACATAGGGCAATCTGTTTTTCGACCGTCGTCCAGTTGTTGGCGCGGTGGCTGCCCCGGGTTTGTTAACGGTCGATGAAATCGAAAACGTGATCCGCACAGGCTGCATCACGTGGTTCATTAAAATCGCGAAATTGTATCCTCCTCGCTGCCGTCCGTCCGTGTAATCATGGCGCGACTGCAACGGCGTGGAGCTTTCCCTCGAAAAAATTATCCCGGACGACGACGCGATCTGGGATATTTTCAAAACCTAAATGTAGCCAGTGATGCCACATGTACGGATTTTTCTGGAATGGTACAGATTTTCTGAGCTATGTTTGATAACATGCATTACAGAATACAGATTTTTCTAAAAAAGTGTACTGATTGAAACTGAAAATCTAACAATATTTGTGTAGCCTAAAATACAGATGTGGCATCACTGCAAAATGTGCAATCATCAGCGAAAGGCAGGAATCCCGTTCACGTTCTCATTACGATAACAAATTCGATTTATTCGGGAAATTCGACTTTTGGATTTCTAGTTGCAACGAGGTCGCTCATTACTGGATCATTTTGGCAGCCGAACTGCCGTAATTGGATATGACGATGTGGAAGCGACTGTACGCCATCATGGGAAAAGTAATTTGTTCGCTCATTTACGGGGTCGATTTTGCTATTACTAGGGTGATTTCTATGAACGACTCTTGTGCTGCCCATTTGGTGGTGCAACTCTACGTCAGATGCATCCGGCTGGCCAAATAACAATTTGCTACCGCGGACTGATTAACGATGCGTGGTGCCAGGGTTATAATTATGCCATCCACTATAGTGAACTCTTTTGATCTAGGAACGTATTTTCCCGGGTCGAAATCAATCGTCGTATGCTTGTTAATCATCATTGAGAGTAATTGCAAATCATACATTTTGAAAAAAAAACGTTCTGTTCTCCAATAACGTTCTCCAAGCGCCTGCAGTCTGAAAACTTTTGAACCCACTTCAGATCAAACACGCTTGATACTTTGTAATAAAATCTATACTATTCTCCTAACTCCTAACTGATAATAAATCACCTGCCATCCTCATCAAATCTTACCTTGCTTGTCTAGCATCTTCACCAGCAGTGGACTTTTCGAACTCTCCCGGGAGCTATCCTTCTCGGATGTGGAACTTTCGCCATGGTGAAGTAAATTAACACCATTTCTAGTGTTGCTGCCGCTGCTGCTGTTGTTGTTGTTGTTGTTGTTGTTGCTGCTGTTGTTGTTATTATTATTGCTACTGCTACCTCCTCCTCTTCCATCGCTGCTATTGGCAGTAGCTTTATTATTATTGCCAGCCTTCCCCAACGAGGACGACGATGCTGGTGAAACTACACCTGATGCGACTGCTGCCGATGCAATAGTATCACTTAGCTCGCTGGAATTATGCTGCAGCATATTGAATTGCCTTGGCTTGTGCTGTTGTGTCTTGTTGTGCTTCGATTTCGACGCCGCCACCGACGCCGTCGTGGAGGATGACGACGATGATGATGAGGACGATGGGTTGGTTCCATCCTTGTTGCTGCTACCGTTGGTCCTTTGGCTGGTGGGTTCGCTTCCCGGTGGGGGTGGGGGTGGAGGTGCGATATCGATACGGTGATCCACACTGTCCCCGTAGCCGTACCAGCCGAGAATGTCGTTCATGGCCGTCTCGGCAAAGTCCTGTGCAAAATGAGAGCAAGAGAGATACGGAAAACATCAACAATGAGAACCCGAGCCGAGCAGTGTAAGACGATATTTTCCAAGAGTAAAGTCATTATTTTATTAAAATCATGATACCGGACCGAGATCGACTTTCGCGTGCCGGGCCTGCTGCTGCTGCTGCTGCTGCGTGGAACGTTGTAATGCAACCAGGATGTGTGAGAGATGTTGTGGAGGTTGCTCGATGATGGGAGTAGGAATAGGTACCTAGGGTTGATGCATATATTATGTCACGCTCTAAGAGGGGAGGGGGGGTCTAAGATTTTGTGACAAGCAATGCATTAGGTATAGGAAAAACGTCACTATAGGGGGGAGGGGGTAATTTTTTGCTCGTTTTAGCGTGACATAATTAATGCATGGGCCCCGTACGGACGAATGATAATAATTGTAACAGGAGCTGAAGGCGAGTCTGTTGCTGGTGTAGATGTCTGGATTGCTGGAGAAGCAAGGAATTCCGCAATATAAAATGACGAAGATGCATCGATCGGGTCGTTGCATGGTGACACAGGGTGTCGAGTAGCTAGAAAAAACCTGGAAAATCAGGGAATATCAGGGAATTCATTTTTGGACCTGGAAAATCGGCGAATCTCAGAGGATTCAATTCAAATTCAGGTTAATATTTCTTAATCCCAGAAACTTTTGACGTAGGACTACGTTTGGATTTTGGGGTACACTTTGTGAAAACCTAAAATGGAACATTTAACGAAATTATGAAAGATTTTGAACGTTAATAACTCAGCTGCCCCTGAACCAATTTCAATAATTTTATCACCAATTGATAAGAAATATTTCTACGCATCAATGACAATGCTTTTGACTGTGAATTTTCAACAAGAAACTATTGAAAAAGTTGACAGTGTCAAACATTGTCCAAAAGCGTCGAAATAACTGACAAATCCACCAATTACGTACATGCATATACTGCTTCCCCAACACAGTCATCAGAGAATCATTAGTAGACGAAGCAAGTCAAAGTGCTATTCGCCTCCGATCTTAGGGCGTGTGCGAATAGGGAGGATGCAATTGCGTAACATTTTGCACACTCATGGCCATATTCAGAACCACACACTCCCAACGACCACACAAAATGCTCTCCAGAGTTGTAATCTTGTAACCGAACTTGGAAGCAGGGGCGCAAGTGATTTTGATCGATTCTCTTCACCGACTTTCTGTTTCGTTAATAACTCGACGGCAAACACATTCTTTTATACGTTTGTTGTTCTGGATGATAGAAGAGCATAGTAGAAATTGTGCGAAATAGGTTAGTGAAGCTATGTTCGTCAAAAGAGGAAATCGATGAAGATAATTGACTTTCACCCCTCTGCTTCTAAGCCGCTTAATTCAGTCGTCGTCATAGCAATGAAAACTAGTATTGCATCGCTTTTGATTCTTGGGTTACACTTGCTGGTAGCAATTCTGCTGTTCGACATTTTCGAAGGACCACCAAAAAACAAGAAATTACACTATTTTCTAGGGATGCCTAAAAGTCCAATTATTCGATTAACGATTGATCGCAAAGATTTTTCCAGCTATTCAATTAAATATTGAATTTTCAATTATTCGAGCGCGCAACTGACATCCCTTCTTATTTCTACTCGTTTGATTTAGCGCAGTAGAGAATATAAATAAAAGAACTAATTTATCTGAACAGGCATAGAGAAGAGCCCTTGACGTGAAACAAAATCATAAATTCGCCGAAAAAAGTGTACAGCGTCTTTCTGCTAAAGGCTAAGATTTATCAACTTGTCGAGAGAAGGAGCACAAACGAAGTGACAGACGACTAACTGGCCAAGAAATCCATTAAAATAATGTGGTTCACTGTAATAGAATTTTCTTGGATTAGTTTTTTTGTTTTGATTTGAACAAAGTTGATTTTGTGTACAATGTCTGTTTGACAGTGTGCAAAGAGTGTATCATTTTGTCATTTTTTTATGCATTTCAGTTTTGAGTAGAGTGAAAGAGATAGAACCAAAACATTCTAATACATTTGGTGAAAATGCTAATACAATCCAGTAGTAGTGTTGCCATGTGGTACAATCCAGTAGTAGTGGTGTTACCATGTGGTACACTGAAAAATTGAAATAGCAGGTTAGTCACCAAAGTTTTCGAGCCGCTCCGTCTGTCACTTCGTTTGTGGAAGGAGTTTAACGAGAAAAACTAAAAAGGGGAGGAGCTTTAGCTGAATGGACACTAGAGTGATGCAAAATTTGAAATTTTCGCTCCACAATACTTAAACGATTTCAAATCGGATCCTGACTAACCTCTAAAAATTTGAACCCATTTGGTGAGAAACTAAGATGGCACAAACCATTTGAAGTTTGTATGGGAATTACTATGTTCATGTCCATCTAATAATACACCATATTGTTTGTTCATGTCCATCTAATAATACACCATATCAGTCTGTTTCAAAAGCTTTCAACTGTTCTTGTAGGAAATTTTCCTAGCTACAACTTTGCTCAAGACCACTTTTTGATTAAATGCAATGATCTAAAGTTATCAATGGTTCAATGCACTGATGTCTTATGATCATGCTCAATCAACTGTTCAGCAGGCAACATTGGTGTTTATGGCGCGTAGAATAGAGGACAAAAATCATGACTACTATGTCATACTGCAGAATCCAGTGTTGCCCACAATACAGTTGCTTAATCTTGCCATAAGATTGTCAATCTCTTAAATAATCAATAACTTTTTCCTGTCTCGGTTTACATAGAAACGATTTTCAGCAAAGTTGTAGCTGAGAAAATTTTCTATAAGAATGGCTATCGAACTGTTTCGCAGCTCAATATGGAAAAAGACTAGAAGGCAATGAACAAAAAGTTGAGATTTCCCATAGTAATTTACATGTAAACTTCAAATGGCTTGTGCGAAGTCTGTTTCTAACCAAATCTCTCGAAGTCTGTTTCTAACTTTGGGAGGCTAATCTGGACCCGATTTGAAACCATTTAAGCATTGTGGAGCGAAAAAGTCAAATTTTGCATCAGTCTACTGGACACTGATATTCTGTGGCCTTCCAACCTGTCGCAGACATCAGTTCAACCCCTGTCCAGTAGCAGACGGGCCGAGACTCTTGCGAGTTTCCAATCATTGAACCGAAGAACAAAGGGCTACCTACACGTCATCATCATCTTCCAAAGGCTTTAAGCCTGTACTACCATCGGCTGTTTTTAGAGCCACCAAGATTTTCCAAAAGAGTTAAATTTTCTGAATATGTTCCAACTAAAATTCATATCAAAAGGTTCTTTTCAGGGCTATCATAGTCATACTAAAGAGTATATACAGCGAGAACCCCGCTCAAATTCCTATTCCTTCACAAAACACAAGCTCCTGCTGCAGTTGTCCCTTGTAGTTTTTTATTTTATTGTTGCTGACTTCGCTATTTTCAAACATCTTAATTACTCGGTGTAGTTTGAGTATAATTGTTCATTTTCAATTTTAAATAGAGTTGTGAACTTGAGGCTTCTCCATGCTCGATGTTGCATTTCTGCCATTTGAGCAAAAATTACTCAAATAAAATGGTATTTCGATGATTTTGAACCTGATATAAATTCAGCTCCCGCTGAAACGGATGGAGAGAGTGGAAATGCCAACTTCCTGTTTTTTTTTTTAATTTTTTTAACAAATGGTGGGCTCTTCTCCCTACTCATTTGGGACATCCTTCTGTTGGATGGCTTGTTTTTCGAACGATGATCCTGTTGTTGGAAGGAGATTCTCATCTATCCCGTCAATGAACGTGGGTGATGTTGCCCACGAATTCACCCAAACCGTTTTTGGCGCTTTATATGTACAATGGCAGGTTGAGTACAATTAGAGGTTATTAAACTTGATCAAGTTGAACAAAAAGGATAGGCCACAGTCTACCAACAGTTGTCTTGCTGGTAGTTCCATATCATCATCATATTATTATCAATATAAATTCAGTTCCCGCTGGATGTTGGTATATTTCTGAGTTGAACCGGTGGAAACTAATGATTTTAAATTGGCTCAATACTTGACTAGCCTACACGCTAACTTGAAAGTACTCATTAATGAGTAAAAAAAGACCCATTTTGAAGAAAAGTGGCTTAACTCATTAATGATTAAACAATTTTACCCATTAATGAGTATCTGTTACCCATTAATGATTAACAATTACTCATTAATGGGTAACTGATACTCATTAATGGGTAAAAATTTTACTCATTTAATGAGTTAAGCCACTTTCCTTCAAAATGGGTCTTTTTCAACCATTAATGGGTACTTTCAAGTTAGCGTGTATTGGTCCCAAGTACATTTATAAGCGTACACTGTACACAAACATCATCCTCCGATCGAATGAAACCTCAGACCATTCAAAACAAAACACCGAAATCGCTTTTTCGAATGATATCTGCAACCGGATGACGGTTGTTTTGAAATCAGATGATTTTCCTCTCGAATACAGGATGAAACTTGTTATGAGAAGGGATAGGGCCTTCAGTTGAAATGCGTAATGCTCTCTGCAGAATGACTGTCATACTAAATGGAAATGCATATGGTATTGGTTCAGCCCCATAACGCAAATCATTCAAAACGATGATGTAAATAATTCTATCGAACGTCATTTGCTGATCTGAGCTGACAAACAAGGTGGAAGCATATGTATCGCTATCAGAGCTGTTACGAACATAGCTAAAGGATGAAAACCAATGGTTGGCTAATTCGTGGTAGAGGAGGTTTTCTCCACCACAAAAAAAAATTGTATCCATAATGGAATGGCTTATTATGGCTATGCAGTATGGAATTGTAGATATTCAAATTATAAATCTAATTAAAACCACTTGATTGTCACACTATTCTTAAATGTTTGTCCTCTGAGTGCCGTATGTTTTATAGCTAATTTTCAAACGAAAATCATCCTGTATTTGGATGACAGTCATATGGATGTTCATCATCTGACGACGAATTCAACCATAAGAAAATCATCCGAAATTCGAATG